CATCTGCCACAGTGGGCTAAACTGGGGACCAGGACCATGAGCAAGTCTGGTCGGCAGCACTGCTTCCCCTTTCCCAGCACCATGCAGCTGATAACAGTGCTCATAGCAATGGCTTTGCTCCTACCCTGGTGCATACAGCTCCCTCCCATCATTCCCAGCCCCACCATTCCCAATGGGTGAAGGAAGACCCATGGGGTCTGGAGGTTTCAGCAAGTGGGGTGCAGGCAGCATTACTGCTCCTGTGCCCCCCCCCCCAGCCAACTCCATAGCAAGCAGTGGAGATGCCTGAGATGCCCGGCATGCTCATCACACCATTGCCAGCCCTGCTGTCTTGTAATTGGAGTGGACATCTTGTCATCCCACATCTCCCCACAGCCGAGGCACTTGCCGTCCCTGCCGCAGAGCCTGACCTGCCGGGCAGGCGCCGGCAGCATGCCGGGGAGGCCATGGAAGGAGGCTGTTCTTGTTAAGCCGACGTGCTTGCAAGGGTCTCAGAGGATACAACCTGCATGAGGCAGAGCTGAGTGCTGCGGTCAGCTGGGCTCTGCAGCCACGTTTCCTTCAATTAGATCAAAATTAATGATTGCCCCAGATGCAGTTTCCTCTCGGCCTGGGGCTGCGGCCAGCACCAACTCTGGAGTGTGAGGAGCTGGTGAGGAAGATGTGGCAGCCAGCTCATGGGCTTGGGCTGGCAGCAGGAGCACTCAGCAAGCTGGATCCATGTCCTTGCCATCTTGGACTAGCTGAGTATCAGACGGGAGCTCCCTCCTGGGGGTCTCCTTTTGGGCAGCTGCTCACTGTCCACCCACGTCTGTAATTTTCCTAATCACCTGTGTGCCTCATCCTCCTGGGCTGCCCTGGCCACAGCACCTTTTAGTCCCCCAGGCTGATCCCCTGTGTCTCTCCTGAGGAGTTGCAGCCCCGCAGGGTGGCTGGGAGGGTGAGCTCACTGCAGCAGCACAGCACCAGTGCTGGAACGCGGCGGGAGTTTGGGTGTTGGTATAGAAAAGAGTCAATTCATTGGCTGGGTGGCAAGAAAGGGAAATCACAACCCAACCCTCATTCAGACTGGGCTAAGAATAGAAATGGACAGTGTCTGTGTTTTGGAGGAGATGAATCATCATGAGGGTGCTGGAGGGCATCAGGGCAGGGTCAGGCCCACCAAGCATCCCTCCAGATTGTGGGGCCAGCTTCTCCCCATGGAGACTCCACCTTTCTCCTGCTATCTTCTGTGGTGTGTCAGGGCCCTGATGCTCTAGAAAGCCCCCTCCTTCACTGCTCCATTATTTTGTCTATGGATGCAGCCTTTTAATCTCCTCTGCTCTCACCTAAACCCGCAGTGCCTCCAGAGTGTCTCCATTGATGCTCTTTGTTATTGCCATCCTCACTACTATTTACAATTCGTTTGGATTTTCCTTGATGTATGTCCCAGACCAAACACAGGGGTTCCACTAAGGCCTTGCTGACAGCAAGCGCTTCAGATGCCTCGTGAATCATTGTCCTTCTTATGCAGCCCTAAGCAACACTGTCCTTTTCACTGAGCTCCGTGCAGTTACAGGGCAGCCAGACATCCCACATGAAACTGGTAGATCCCATATCCCAAATCTATGAGGTTTCTCCTGTTTTTTCATAGCTCCCAGCTGCTTTTCCAGGCAGCTGCTTGGCTGCTGGGCATCTGGAGACGCAGCTTCTGCTCACGCAGCTTCTGCTCACACAGATAACGGCACCTACAGAACGCATCCTGCCTGAGGGTTCTGACCCTCTGCATGCCTTGTTTATCCACCTGGGATTGTCCTGGGGGTCCTTGTTAAGCTCAGACAAGCTGATGCTGCTGCCCACTGCCAATGCTCTGCCCTGCCCTCCTGCCTGCTTGGCAGCCCTGCCCTCCAGCCGCTCGCCCTCTGCTTGCTGGGCAGATTTGCTTCCCGACCCAGCCCAGCTCTTGGTGCTTGTCCTTTTGAATTGTATCTGATTGTTTTCAGGCCATTTCTCCGATTTGTCAACATCATTTCGAATTCCAGTCCTGTCTTCCCCAGCACCCGCAGCCTCCCCCCATCATCTGAGCATAGCACGTGGGCCCTGCGCCAAGTCCCTGACAATCAACATTCCCCTGGCTGGGGGGCACAGGAATGAGCAGGGGGGATTCCACTTTCCCAGTCTCCCGGTGAGCCCTTGGCTGGCTCTCCTATCCTGTTGGTTTGCTTGCATGGTGGCTAGTGAAGCCAGCACTCTGGAGCCCAGGTCATTGGGCTTCTCCGGGCTGTTAGCATCAAACCCAAGGGCTGGAAGAGGGAGCATCAGTGGGTAGACAGACTCTGTAGCTGCTTGTGGCCAGGTGAAGGGGCAGACAAGCCCCACTGCATGCCACAGAGTCCCTCCTTGTGGCCTCATATCCCACAGGTGCAGGCACTCAGCCACAGGTGGGAGGTTCCAGCACAGAACCTTGGGGATCTGCAGACATGTAGGCAAAGGGGCAGCACCAGCCATTTCCAGCTGGTGCTATGTTCTCTGCCTTGTCTGGTCTGAGGAGAAAGCAGTTGCTGAGCCCTACTGCCCTCCTTCCCAAGCCATGCTGCTTCCCTATTCCATGTCCCTGCAGACCTGTGTTTCTCCTGGCATGCCCTCTCTTCTGGTGGTCTCTGTTTGCAAAGCCATAGTGCTCCCTACTCCCTGACTTGTAGAAAGCCTGCAGCTGCAGCTGAAGACAGGACCGGTGCTTTGGGTGCCACTCACTTGGGCACAGCTTGATCCCAACCCAGCCTGGCTGCACTTTATCCTTGGGTCATCCTGCAAGCTGTTGAGCCCCTAGAACCCATTTGCCCTTGCTGGATGGCAAGGCAGGAGCAGGACACAGTAGGGGAGGAGAGCCAGGAGAGGAGAGAGGAGAGGACTTATCTCTTTGGCCACAAAGGAGAGGATCATGCTATGAGGAGGGTGATAAGAGATGTCCCCAGTCCAGGTGGCAGTTAATAATGGAGCTGAAGACACCCAGAGAAAGCAGGGGTCTGTGGTCCCCATGGTATGGGGGCCAGGGCCCTGCAAGGAGCCAAGAGACAGTTCTGCTGCCACGCCATGGCTGTCCAGCACACAGAGAACACTGGGCTCCAGCTGGTCCCACACTCACACAGCTCGGTTTGCCCTGTACCTCAAAGTCTGAGCTTACAGTGTGACCTGCCTGGCAGACCCTCCATGCCCTCATGCCCCTTAACACCATAGCAAATGAGAGGCACAGGTAGGGGCCACACACTCAGCTCTGCAGACCAAAGACCCAGTGCTGGCCATTGCATGGCACTGCAGAAGCTCCTCGCCACAGGATTAGGCAGTTGCTGCCCATGGTCCTTACTGGGCCAAGCATTCCCACAGGGCCGAGCATCCCTGTGGAAGCTGCTGGGGGCTGATGGTTATGTGGCTGGGCTACCCACGGTGGTGGCAGTGCTTGGGCTGCTGGCCCAGACCACTCCCACTGTGCCTCTCCAAGCTGAGGGTACAGGGCTGGCACGTTCTTGATGCATCCCTTGGGCAGGGAGAAGCAGCTGAATGGGGCTGTGCGTGCTCCCCGCCGGAGGCAGCCTATCATGCTGTATTGACCCGCACAGAGGCAGGAACATGTGTGCCATGCACAGATCGATGGGAAGATTGAAGATGCTTGTGCGCTTGCCGGACGACTGGGGAAAGCTTTGCCGTTGGCATTGGCAGCATAGTGAAGGTCACGCTGACCTGCGGCGCAGTCCCCGAGGAGAGGCGAGGCCTCTTGTCGCGCTCATGGGCGGCTGTCTCGTCACTTGTCCTCCGGAGACCTCAGCTTCCCTGCCAGGCACGCACCTTTCTCAGCAGAGCTGTGTCTGCTGGGGGAGGTACCCAGTGCTGGGCTTGTTCTGGGGGCAGGGAGCTGGTGTTCCCCCACACACGCTGTGCCACAAGGCAATGTCACAGAGGGTTGCTTGACTTGTGGGGAAGGGAATTGGTTCAGCCTTTTTAGCTGAGCAAACCGTCCATCACCACCTGGGGAAACCGAGGCAGGAAGCTGGGAGAGACCAAGACTTGCTGGCAGAGGTGTTGTGCATGGGAAGCAGCCAGACCCAGGTGCCATGTGGTTGTTGCCTAAAGATGAACCCATCCCCTCATCACTGCGCAGGCAGAGCCCCACTGCTGCGGGCAGGACGGGGCAGGAGGTCACCCTGTTTCTCACGCTGCCTGCAGGGGTCTGCTACCACGGGGGGCTAGGACGGGAGTGTGCGGTGGAGGAAGCAGATCCCAGGAGGAGCAAGGGCTGAGCAGGGCAAAAGAGAGGGTGAGGGCTACCTCGGCTCAGCCTTTCTATCATAGCCGGTCACTGCCTGGGGTGGCCCCCACTTCCTGTGAGCTGCCGTGGGACAATAAGGAGCAGCGGTAGAGAGGCGGGGGCGGAGGGAGCAGAAATGAAGCCGGGGGAGCTCATCCCGGGCGCACAGCGAGCGCAGTGGAGAGAGGGGGGCGGTGGACACGGGGGGCGGGTGGCGACGCTGCCTCCCTTCTGGCTCCGGGACACTGAGGAGCACGGCGGGGCTGGGGGGGGGTTCGGGGAGGTGCACCCCCGGCGCCCGGTGTTCAGCCGCGCTTCGGCGGCGGCTCGCCGGCCGGGTCCCGCCGGGACAGCCGGGGCCGGCGGCGGGACGGCCGTGTCTCGGCTTTGGCCGCCGTGGGTCGCGGCAGGGAGGCGGTTAACGGCCAGGGAGCCGCCGAGGCAGGAGGAGTCCGCAGGCGGGCGAGCAGGAGGGGGCCGCCGGGCGAGCTGCCCGCAGGCTGCCCGCCCCCGCCGAGCCGCGCCGCGCTCTGCCCCGGGGCGCACGGGCCGGCGGGGCACGGCGGGGCCAGGCGGCGACCGCGGCGACAGCGGCAGCGGAGGGGGGCAGGTTTCGTGCCCCGCCCGCCTCGGCACGGCTCGGCACGGCTCGGCATCTCACGGCGCGGCGCGGCACGAACGGCTCGGCATCGCGCGGCGCGGCACGGCACGGCTCGGTTCCGCTCGGCACGGCTCGGCTCCGGCAGCTCCCGAGCCATTCAAACAAGTGGCTCCGGCAGCACTTCGGGGCCGGGGCTGCGGAGCGGGCGCAGCGTGGCTCCCTGCCCCGGAGGCGCCGGGCCCTTCACACTGCCTCTTTTCTCTGACGCTCGCTCTTTATTTGACGATGAAATAATGTTGACATGTCTTGAATTATTAAGTATTCCCTGGATTTTATTAGCACATGATGCCTAAATGCTGCCTGTATCTGCTGGGGTCTTAACCAGAGAGGAGCGAAGGAGAGAGGCAGAGAGACAGAGCGAGGGAGAGGAGAGAGAGGGGTTTTTGACAGCTGTATTTGTGCTGATAAGCGAAGGCACAAGGAGACGATCGACTAGTGAGACAAGAGGGAAGCGGCGGCTCGGAGCTGCTGAGAGGGGCTGCGCTTCCCTCCCGAGACGGCTCGGCCCTCCCGGTGCCGTGCTGGGGCTTGGGGGGGACCCGAACTCCCTCCCAGCACCTGGCCGAGTTCTCGGCCAGTGCCTGTGTTGGGGGGCAGCTCGCTGGCTGGGCACACCAGCTGTGCGGGGCAGATGCCGATTGAGATCGTGTGTAAAATCAAATTTGCCGAGGAGGATGAGAAGCAGAAGGAGAAAGAAGAAGGGGACAAGGAGAGCCTGATCGAGGAGCCTGACCGGCCCCATTCTCGGGACCTGGCCACCTTTGCCAGCACCAGCACACTGCACGGCTTGGGACACATCTGCCAGTCAGGACGGCTGGGCGTGCGCCAGACCCTCTGGGCATTTGCCTTTCTGGCATCACTCGCCTTCTTCCTCTACCAGGCAGCCAAGTCAGCGCTGCTCTACCTGGAGCACCCCCATGTCATGGCCCTGGACGAGGAGGCCATCCGTGAGATGGTCTTCCCCGCCATCACCATCTGCAACATCAACCGCTACCGCCACTCGGCACTCACCGACGCTGATATTTTCCACTTGGCCAACATGACCGGGCTGCCCCCCAAGGACCGGGATGGCCACAAGGCCACGGACCTGCTCTACCCTGACCCCGACATGGCTGACATTGTCAACCGCACTGGCCACCAGCTTGACGACATGCTCAAGAGCTGCAACTTCAGCGGCGAGAACTGCTCATCCCGTGATTTCACTGTGGTGAGTGCACACCTGGGTCAGCTTCCCAGGGGGCCCCTGCTAGCACGAGGGCACCCACCCCTCTGGTCTCACCAGAGCAGGGCTCCCTGGCTCACTCCGGCTGCTGAAGTTTGCATCTCTCTCTGTTTGAGTTTCCCTCCAAGTTTCACATGGAGAGAGGGAGAGGGTCCTCTGTGGGAGCTCTCAGCCGGGCTCTGTGCCGCAGAACTGGGCTGTCAGCAGGTCTGTGCCGGAGGGGCTCACAGGCAGGAGCCAAGGGGGGGGGGCGCAGCAGGGCTGAGCAGTCCCCACGGGTGGTGTGCAGTGGGCAGGGGAAAAGCTGTGGCATTTAATTCTGCTCCAGCCTGTGCTTTCCCCGGGTTGAAGTGCCCTGACACAGGGTGCTTTGAACAGTGAGAGTGTGCGAGGGCCAGGGGCAGGCAGAGACCCCTTTGCACACAGGGAAACCTTCCTGCATTTGGACGGTTAGCACTGGGATGTGTGTGGATGTGGAGGCTGCCAGCATTGCACACGCACGTGTGCACACACGCACATGCTGAGCTGCTCTGCTCTGGAGACACAGCTACAGCTGGGCAAGCAGGGTCTGCCTGGGGCTGCCCACTCACTGCCCAGGGCTGGCAGCCGGGCCTCCTCTGAGCAGCGCCCAGTCTGCCCAAGTGGTGAGCCCCAGGCCGACCGCCGCTAGTGTGCAGCTCTCACTAATATTGAGCCTGGAATCACAAATCCCCGCTGTGGTTTGGGAAAATAAATGTGCTGAACAGGCGGAATACCTGATGGGACCCTTTTCAGACCGTAATGACTCTGGAAATGAGCCGCCTCTCTCCTAAGGCTACCAGGGGCTACTGCTCGGCTGGCTTCTGCGTTCCCAGAAACAGTGCTGCCAGCCGGACTCCGCTTCTTGCCAGGGAGTGGGATGCAATGCCATGGGCTGTGTGGGATGCTGGGGGAGAGAGGATGCTCTGTGGGTCTGGAAATGGCTGATGCAGCATGTTCCGTTTCACTTTGTGCCCATCGGTACAATGCCTGCTCAATGCGCAGGGTGATGCTGTCCCTAGGAAAGAGATGTTTGGGGGGGCTGCCCTGTGCGGGGGGGTGGCATGGGGCACTGCAGTGGAGTAGGAAGGAGCGGGGGGGGCAGCCCCGCTCCTCCTGGGGATTTGCCTGGCTCTGTGCCTGCTCTACGGCAGCTGCTTGAGTTTGCCAGGGAGACGCGTGGTCCAGCAGGGTTTGGAGACAGAAGCTCTGGTTCTGGACAGTCCTACACGTGGCTTGGCCATGCTGGCTCCAGCCCTTAGGTCCTCCTGGAGGATCCTGAAAGCTTTGATGTGTGAGGGAGGCAAACAAGACCAGCCTTGAGCTGGGCAGTGGCACGACATGGCAGTGGGTTTTACCATGTGCTGAACCACTCTGTGAGACTGGCAGGGCAGAGATCGGGTGGATTGGGCTGGGTACGAGCTTCCCACGGTGTGGAAACAGTGTGTGGTATGCACTGTGCTGTGTGGCAGTAGAGGGTGACGGACAGGACAGTCACTGGGACCCGGCTTCTTGGCAGGAGGCTGTGCAGGACCAGCTGGCCTGCCTACATCATCTACTTACAGGTATGCCCTGGGGATGCCCAGGCAGCCAGGCTCTGGTGTGTCAGCACCCTGCACAGGAGCAGGTTTCAGGTGAGAGAATGACCCACATGTTCATGGCCCAAAAAAGGAGAGTATAGGGCTCCTAAAACCTCCACCCCCTGTCCACAACTCAGCCCTCCAGCATGGCCTTTGAGGCATCAGGGCTGTCAGCAGAAAGAGGCATCTCTGCCACCTCTCACTTGCTCAGAGGAAAGCAGTGAACCTGGGGCAGGAGAGGCTGCAGAGCATGGGTGTGGGGAGGGATGTGTGAAGATGTGACTTCTCTCCACCACGTTACATGTCCCAAAGCCTTAGCAGGCAGCAGTGGGACCTGTCGAGGCATCACACTATTTGCAGCTGGAGCCTCCTACTCCCATTCCCCGAGCCAAATCGGTCCTTTGTGCCTCCTGGGAATGACTGAAACACAGCGCAGGCTGCTTGGCAAGCAGGGTGAGTCCCAGCTGTGATGTGTGGGCTTGGGCGCTCCTGTGCCTCCCAGCTGTGGCCACAGTACAGGGGCACCCAGGCTGCTCTGCAGCCAGTTGTCATGCAGTGGGGAGGTCCAATCTTTGTTGGTCCCATTTCTGGATCCTCATGTGAGCCTTCATGCTCATGCTGTGGGTGGGTGTGTGAGTCACAGCGTGTCCCAGCAGTGGTGGAGGGCTCTCAGACTGCAGCACATCACAGTGGGGCAAATAGCCTAGGGTCGCAGGGCATCAAGCCCACAGCAAGCAGTCTCTGTAGCAGAGGTTGTCCCCCCAGCAATCCTGGAGAAGGGAAGGAGCTTCCCCTTCAGCCTTTCTTGCAGGAGTGCTGGAGTATTTCCTTCCCTCTGGATATGAGCTGCACTTCATCCAGAGGCTGGAAGTTTTACAGCACGAGAGTGGCCAAGCTGTGGGGCTGCTGCCGACTGTCTGCCTGTCCAGGAGCAGGAGCAGTGCCGAGGCTGGAGAGTGTCCCCTTATGCTGCCGCTTGCAGCCTGTGCTCGTACAATAAATAACTCGTGCGGATCCTTTAAGTAGGAGCCGTGAGTGGTAAATGATCTTCCCCTATTCAACGTCACAAATCCACGTTCTTTATGGGATAGCAAATTAAGAAACTATCGGGGAAAAAAAAAATCCCCAGCGTAAGCATCTTCCATGTAATAAAGCCTGGCTGGGCTGTAAATCTCCCCAGCGGCAGGGACAGCCCTGAGCCGCAGCGAGACTCCCTGCAGCCCCGCTGACAAATGTGCCCTCTGCGTCGGCTGCTGGAGGGCCATGTTGGAGCCCTAGCAAAGCCTCTTCTGACCCCTTCGAGCTGCACCATGCTCCACAGCCCCCAGTCCCCGCTATGCCCGCCGGCACACTGTCCGACGGCTGCCTCCGCCAGGGCGCCGGGAGCAGAGCGCTCCTGGCTGGGCGAGTGCAGCTGCGGTGCTGAGGGTGTGAAGCGTGCGAGCGGCTGTAGGAAATCAATGGCGCTCTTTACATGCCTCTAAGTGGGAGGTTGGGAAGTGTCCCCGTGGGGCTGGGACTGAGCTGCCACGGGTGGCTCACACCCACCCTCGCCCCTCAAGCCTGACACCCCTGTACAACACGAGGCCAGTTCAGGCGATGTCAGGGAGTACTGTGGAAAGGGGGAGCCCTCCCGGTGGTGCTATGGGGATGGGAGGGGACAGACAGATGGGGGGACAGGAATTTGGGGGCTGTGCGAGAAGATGCATGGAGGGGCCCCCCTCTGCTGGCAGCAGTATCCCGCCTGTTTGCTGGCAGTGGCTGTGGCGAGAGGCTCCACTCGCGGCTGGGCAGGAGCCCAGTGCTTTTCTCAAAACCTCATTCACTGTCAGAAGCCTTTTGTTTGTGATATGTGGCTGCCGAAGCCAGTTGTGCCAGGGCTGGAGGCTGGGGGAGAGTGGGGAAGTTGCTGAGAGCTGGCAGTGCCTCTCAGAGCTGGCATATGCCCCAGCTCTCCAGGCAAGGCCTCCTGCCTGTCCGGGATGTGGGCAGTGTGAGGGGTCTCCCCAGAACCCCAAGAAGACCTCAGAGGGGAAAACTCCTATGCTGAGATGGGGAACATCCTCAGCTGCACCCTATATGCACCCAAAAGATCCTGGCTGGAGGGGTGGCCAGTGGGCAGTAGGCTGTTGTCTCTGCCTTCTCTCTTCAAGGCTCACCTGCTGTTCCTGACACAGGGTCCCTCTCTGACCTTTCCATCAGAAACGTACTTAATAAATGTCACATTTTCAGTCTATTTTTACGCTGGGTAAAAGAGCTGGACTGGTTGTTCTTCACCTGCCCTGCCCTGCTTGGTGCCTGCTCAGCCCCCAGAATTCAACCACGCCAATTCCCCTGTCCTCCTGTACAGGGCTGAGCAAGTCCAGGTCGTGGGGGGCTTGCTGGGGGCTTCCCAGATGCCCCAGCCCCCCAGGGCTCCAGGTACTGCAGGACCTGCCCTGGCTGGGGCACAGGGTGGCTCTAGGGCCAGGCAGTGCCATACAGGTCTCAGCACAGCATCATCCCCATGGGTGGGTAGCATAGCTGTAACTGTGGTGGGTGTTCTGCCACGCATGGCAGGGACTGGCTGGGCTGGGACTGGTGGTGTCAGTGCCCAGTAGAACCTGGAGCATCCATCACTGATCCCATCCCTGTGAGCTGCTTGGCTGAGCCACCTGTGCCCGTCTGGATCAATGCACTCCACTCGCTGCATCTACCTCCTGCAGTCCCAATCCAGTGCCTGAGCCACCTACCCAGGGACTCACAGCCCATCCAGAGCCCCCCATCCTCCCAGACTGGCCACCATGCCTGTGCATTTCCAGGCCTGTGTCCTGGGTCGTGCAGACATGTCTCAGGTTGGCTGTGCTCCTGTCCTGAGCAGCAGCAGCAGCTCCAGCGCTGTTACACATGAGCTGCCCGGGCACGGCTCGAGGCGCTGTTTGTGCCAGAAAACGGGGGACTTTAATGCAATTCGTTGCCATTTAATTTTACACAATTCCCGCTGCTTAATCCGCTGAGAAATGCTAATTTATACAATTCACGTCTAAAAATAAATGTCAGTCCAGCAGCTCCCAGCAGCGGGTAGCTGCTCCCACCAGTCCCTGCTGAAGCCTTGTGTAGGGACACCAGCCCAGAGCCCACCTTGCTCCCTGCCAGCCAGGCTGCTACTCCTTGCCCCACAGTGCCCAGGCTGCAGCAGCATGTGTGTGGATGTGGGCATAATGGGTACTTTGGATACTGTGGTGGGACAGTGAGGAGCTGGCTGCACCTAAGGGTGTCCCTACAAAGCCCCTCATCACGGTGGGACACAGTGACAAAGGTACAGTAGATGTCTTGGCAATCTGGCTGTCTTCCAGATGGCTGGGAAGATGTTATTGGTGTGGGGATTATGAGATGTCTTTGGGACTG